TCTTATTAATTCTTTCAAAGAATCAGCTTTTAGTTTCATTGATCTGCTCTACTGTATTTCTGGTTTCTAATTCATTGATCTCTGCTCTAATCTTAATTATTTCTCTTCTAATGCGTGGCTTAGGCATCGTTTGTTTTTTCTTCAGTTCTTTAAGGTGTAGAGATAGTTGGTGAATTTGGGATTTTTCTTTTTTTTTGATTGAAGCTTCGATGTCTGTGTATTTCCCCCTTAGGACCACCTTTGCAGTATCCCATAGGTTTTGGACCAATGTGTTTTCATTCTCATTGGTTTCCATGAATTGTTTAAGCTCTTCTTTGATTTCCTGGTTGACCCAAACATTCTTGAGCAGAGTGGTCTTTAGCTTCCAAGTGTTTGAATTTCTTCTAAATTTTTTCTTGTGATTGAGTTCCAGTTTTAAAGTTCTATGGTCTGGGAAAATTCAAGGAATAATCTCAATCTTTTGGTATCAGTTCAGACCTGATTTGTGACCCAATATGTGGTCCATTCTGGAGAAAGTTCCATGTGCACTCGAGAAGAATGAGTATTCTGTTGTTTTAGGGTGGAATATTCTGTGAATATTCTGTTCATTAAAAGCTCTAGTTTCTTTGTTGATCTTCTGCTTAGATGATTTGTCCATTGCTGAGAGTGGTGTGTTGTGGTCTCCTACTATTAATGTATTATTATCAACATGATTCTTTATATTAGTTAACAGTTGGCTTATGTGGTTGGCTGCTCCCATGTTAGGGGTATAGATATTTACAGTTGTTAGATTTTCTTGTTGGATAGGCCCTTTAAGTATTATATAGTGTCCCTCTACATCTTTTACTACTGTCTTTGGTTTAAAATCTAATTTGTTAGCAATTTGTATGTTTTCTTTGGAGAAGTGTCTGTGCATGTCTTCTGCCCATTTTTTGACTTGATTATTTGTTTTTTGGGTGTTGCGTTTGAGAAGTTCTTTATAGATCTTGGATACCAGCCCTTTATTTGTAGTGTCATTTGCAAAAATCTTCTCCTATTCCGTGGGTTGTCTTTTTGTTTTGTTGACTGTTTCCTTTGCTGTGCAGAAGCTTTTTATCTTGATGAAGTCCCAAAAGTTCATTTTTGCTTTTGTTTCCCTTGCCTTTGGAGATGTGTCTTGAAAGAAGTTGCTGTGGCCGATGCCAGAGGTTACTGCCTATGTTCTTTTCTAGGATTTTGATGGATTCCTGTCTCACATTGAGGTCTTCCATCCATTTAGAGTTTATCTTTGTGTATGGTATAAGAAAATGGTCAAGTTTCATTCTTCTGTATGTAGCTGTCCAATTTTTCCAGCACCACTTATTGAAGAGATTATTTTTCCGTTGGATATTTAACCTGGTTTGTCAAAGATTAATTGGCCATAGAGTCCCCAAAAAACAAGAGTCCAGGGCCAGATGGCTTTCCAGGGGAATTCTATCAAACATTTAGAGAAGAAATAATACCTATTCTACTAAAGTTGTTTCAAACAATAGAAACAGAAGGAAAGCTTCCAAACTTGTTTTATGAGGCCAGGATTACCCTGATCCCAAAACCGGGCAAAGGCCCCACCAAAATGGAGAATCACAGACCAATATCCCTGAATAACATGGTTGCCAAAATACTCAACAAGATCCTAGCCAGTAGTATCCAACAGTACATTAAAAATACTATTCTCCACGACCAAGTCAGATTTATTCCTGGGATGCAAGGGTGATTCAACATTGCAAATCAATCAACATGATAGAGCACATTAATAAAAGGAGAGACAAACCACGTTAATTGTAGGAGATCTCAATACTCCACTCTCAACAAAAGTCAGATCATCTAAGCAGAAGATCGACAAAGAAACAAGAGCTTTGAATGACACACTGGACCAGATGGACCTCATAGATATATACAGAACACTATATCCTGAAACAACAGAATACTCATTTTTCTCGAGTTCACACAGATCTTTTTCCAGAATAGACCATATACTGGGTCACAAATCAGGTCTCAACCTGTACCAAAAGATTGAGGTTATTCCCTGCATGTTATCAGATCACAATGCTTTGAAACTGGAACTCAATCACAAGAGGAAATTTGGAAGGAATTCAAACACTTGGATGTTAAAGAGCATCCTGCTGAAGAATGATTGGATCAACCAGGAAATTAAAGAGGAATGTAAACAATTCATAGAAACTAATGAGAATGAAAACACATTGGTCCAAAACCTATGGGATACTGCAAAGGCAGCCCTAAGGGGGAAATACGTAGCCATCCAAGCCTCTCTCAAAAAAGTAGAAAAATCCCAAATGCACAAGCTAACCTTACACCTAAAAGACCTGGAGACAGAACAGCAAATAAAACCTAAACCAAGTAGGAGAAGAACAATACAGAGATCAAGTTAATAGAAACCAGAAAAACAGTAGCACAGATCAACAAAACTAGAAGCTGGTTCTTTGAAAAAATTAGTAAGTCTGGCCAGAGGTTTATCGATATTATCAAAAAGAAAAGAATGGACCTGAATTAATAAAATCATGAATGAAACAAGACAGATCATGACCAACACCAAGGAAATACAAACAATATCAGGAACATATTATGAGCAACTGTATGCCAACAAATTAGGCAATCTGGAAGAAATGGTTGCATTATGGGAAACTTAGAACCTACCAATACTGAAACAGGAAGAAATAGAAAACATCAACAGACCCATAACCAGCAAGGAAATTGAAGCAGTAATCAAAAAACTTCCAGAAAACAACAGTCCAGGACCTGATGGCTTCCCAGGGGAATTCTACCAAATATTTAAAAAAGAAATAATACCTATTCTACTGAAGCTGTTTCCAAAAAAAAAAAAAAAAAGAAAGAAAAGGAAAAAGGAGAAGAAGAAGAAGGGAAGAAAAGGAAAGGAAAGGGAAAAGGAGAGGAAAGGAAAGGAAAACTTCCGAAATCATTCTATGAGGCCAGCATTACCCTGATCCCCAAACCAGGGAAAGACCCCATCAAAAAGGAGAATTACAGACCAATATCGCTGATGAACTGCATGCCAAAACACCCACCATATCCTAGCCAATATGATCCAGTAGTATATTAAAAGGACTATTCACTGTGACTAGGTGGGATATATTCCTGAGATGCAAGGTTGGTTCAACATTTGCAAATCAATCAATGTGATAGAACACATTAATAAGAGGAGAGAGAAGAACCATATGGTCCTCTCAATTGATGCAGAGAAAGCATTCGACAAAATACAGCATCCTTTCTTCATTAAAACTTTTCAAAGTATAGGGATAAAGTGAACATACTTCAATATCATAAAAACCATCTATGTAAAGCCCACAGCGAATATCATTCTCAAAGGGGAAAAACTGAGAGCGCTTCCCTTAAGGTCAGAAACAAGAAAGGGATGCCCACTGACATCACTATTGTTCAACATAGTACTAGAAGTCCTAGCCTCAAATATCAGACAACAAAAAGAAATGAAAGGCATTCAAATTGGCAAAGAAGAAGTCAAACTCTCTGTCTTTGCAGATGTGATACTTTATGTGGATAATCCATGTAAAACCAGGCCTATTCATCCTAATTTCCTGCTTACTTCCTACCTGCTCTTCATAGAGGAAGCTGAGACACTAGGGATTTGGGTCACAGATTCCCTGTGTCTTCCTATAGGTTGTGTGGGAACCATTAGGAAACAGGACATATTGGAAACCCGGCTGAATCCTGACATACGCAGAACCTACTGACATAAGGATCTCGAAGCACAATCAGCTATGGCTTCCCAGATCATCCCATGGGTCCTGGTGTTTGGCTCCAGGTAACAGGTGTTGAACCCAGATCTCAATTGCTGGACCTGAGATCTCCCAAGATTTGGAAGAGATCTCATGAGATTTGGAGTAAAATCTTGCCCAATATCGATGAGATCTTCCGCGATTTCAACTAAGATCTAGAGAGATTTGGATGACAACTCACAAGATTTGGACTGAGGTTTCCAAATTTTGGAAGAGTTCTCACGAGATTTGGATGGAGATCTCATATTTCCCGAAAGATCACATGAGGGCCTGCTAAGGAAAGAGTTATTTTTCCTTTTGTTTCTGTGGTTTTTTGAGGCTAGTACAGACAGCCTTCTTGTTTTGAAAGCCTGAGAAATCCCCTGGGGAGCATGCTTCTGTGATCCCCTGTCCTTCTGGTGGTGGGGGGATTGGCATATTGCCTCTCCTTTCCCCTCCTGCCCTCCAGTTTCTTTCACCACTCCTCCTCATGAATGAGCATCCACCAGGCCCATTCATCCTGATTTCCTGCTCCCTTCCTATCTGCTCTTCATGGAGGATGCTGAAACACAGGGATTTAGGTGTCACCTTGTGTCTTCCTGCAGGTTATGTGGGAACAATTAGGAAACAGGACATATTGGAAGTTCTGCATCTTACAGCTTGTCACAGCTTTAACTTCAGTTTTCTCTGCAAGTAACTGGTGAATGCTTGGGTCCGTTATTTCCTTATTGCTTGAAGGTTAAGTTACTTTGAAAGCTTCCACAGTTTGAATGTAAAGGGCTGGAGAGGATGTGGGATAAAATAAACTCCCTTGCACAGAGAATGCACACTACATTCTGCCAACAGGAGGGCATGCAGGAGGGCCTTCCTTCCAAGGTCAGGGTCCACAGTGGATTCCTGCTGGGTGTCGGCAGCCCCAGATACACTTGGTGCAGGTCACAGGCTGGGAGTGTGGTCCAGAGTTGGCCATATGTCAGAGCACAGGTTTCTGTCTCCTTTTCCCAGCCCAGGAACCCTGTGTCAGCACTGTGGCCTCTGTCCCAAGAGGAGCAGTAATCCTCAGCCTCCTCCCCAGACCAGATCCCTGAGATGTTCAGATCTTGATGGTGCCATAATTGGAACCATTGCATCTGCCTGGGACCCCCTGAGGGTCCAGTACTACCAGTCATCACAGAGTGGGGGGCAGCACCAGGTAGCTATTGATACTGGCCCACAGTATAACTTTTTACATTGCTGCTGCTTGCACTGCAGGAGACGGTGACCCTCTGACCCTGAGACCCTGACACTGAGGATGCTGAGTCACCACAGGCTGCACCCACACAGCTGGAAAGAACAGGGAGAGACACAAATGGAGTGCCTGGAATCTCCAAATATCCTGGAAATCAGGGTGGTCAAAGAGCAAGGCTCCTGTCCCAACCAGACCCCTCCTCCTGACCCTCAGGATCCAGCACCTGGACAGTAAGTGAAGAAGGAGAGAAAAGAGACAGGAGTCCAGGCCATGGAGATGCCCAGGACTGCAAGAACACAGAGCAAGACCAGAGCAGCTTCAAGTCTGTCATATCACCCCCAGGGGAATGGAGGCACATTATGCAAATTACCACTCCCCAGGCTGTCCCACCCCCATGGAGGTCTGAGCACAGGTCCCCAGACAGGGAGACAGGGCTGGTTCTCACTGGTCTCCCAGGCCCACCCCCAGGTGGATCTGTGATGGGGCAGCACCTGGAAAGGATCCAGGGCTTCATCAGAGCCTGTCCACCTACACCCCAGCCTGTCTTCTAGAGGAAGGATAGGGACCAGCATTGGTGGACAACCTGCCGATCGTATCTACAGAGGCATCTTCTGCTCAGTCCAGACCCACCTTCCTGTGTGTAATGTGGGGGGTGGGGCTGTGAGGAAGTCCCTCCCAGGGAACCTATCCTGTGTTCCCCAGAGCAGGACAGAGGACAGAGAGGGCTCAGCCCCAGCAGCCCCATTTAGAAGCTACATGAAGCCTGGCTCCCTCCCATCTGTCCCCTAATTCCCATGTGAGTGAACGAGGTGCTCCTTCCAAGTTCCCCTCTTTTCTCACCCTCTCCCACCCCAATGGGGAGGAGCTTGACCATCATCACAAGGAAGTTGTTCAGAGGCTGACCTCACTACCTGAGTATCCGGCTCATCCTGAGAAAGACCATCCTCAGGGAATTTGAGGAGCCCCTAGCCCTCCCAGGACAAATCTAGGAGTACAAGGGCCTGAGGGCAGACCCAAAGTGATGACATGTCCCAAACAGGAAGAGAAAGACAGGGACACACAGAACTGGGCACTTAAGACTGAGGGAACACGTTATAGGAAGAAAGGAGGTGAGCAGCACAGGTGTCTGTGTGAAGGACTCTGATGGAACAAGGCATGTGGTGGTCATCCTCCACTCCTGATGCGTCTCATGAAAGCCATGTGGACTGGTCCTTGAGGAAACCGACAATTGCTCAATATTCCTCCTGTTGTTTCTGTGAGGGCATTTGGGGTGAATTATCATTTGACTGCTCACACCAAGGTGAGCTGAGGGCCCTCTCTAGGGTGTGGTGTCCTCACCCTTCAACTGAAGGCCTCAATAGAACAGAAAGGCTGAATGAGAGGGAACTCCTCTGCTATAGATCATTTTTCTGGATCAGTTTTACACAGACTCACTAATTATGTCATGAAACTGTACACTTTTAACAATCTTATTTTTATTTCTTTTTGTTTTCTTAATTTAAATTCAATTATCCAACGTATACTACATCATTAGTTTCTGGTGTAGTGATCAGTGATTCATCAGTTCATAGAACACTCAGTGCTCATCACATCATGTGCACAGTTACCCCATCCCCCCACATACCTCCCCTTCTGCATCCCTCAGTTTGTTTCCCAGAGTCAAGAATCTCTTGTGGTTTGTCTCCCTCTTTGATTTCTTCCCATTCAGTTTCCCTTCCCTTCTCCTATGATCCTCTGCACTATTTCTTATATTCCACATATAAGTGAAACCATATGATAATTGTCTTTCTCCGATTGACTTATTTCACTTAGCAGAATACCCTCCAGTTCCATCCATGTCGATGTAAATGGTAGGTGTTCGTCTTTTCTAATGGCTAAGTAATATTCCATGAACCACATCTTCTTTATCAATTCATCTGTTGAAGGACAACTTTATTTTTTAAATGATAACAGCAAAGAAATGTCCGTCAATTTGGCAAATGTAAGATCACAGATAATTTTAATTGATGATTTTGAGAGGATTTTTTTTTTTTGCTGGTGAAAACACAAGTACAACTTTTGAGAGTATTTTAGTGGCTATGATGACATTCGACAAATTACTTCGAAAGATATATTCTATTACAATAGATGCAGAAAAAGCATTTGACAAAGTACAGCATCCTCTCTTGATCAAAACTCTTCAGAGTATAGGGATAGAGGGTATATACCTCAATATCATAAAAGCCATCTATGAAAAACCCACAGCTAATATCATTCTCAATGAGGAAAAACTGAGAGCTTTCCCCCTAAGGTCAGGAATGCGGCAGGGATGTCCACTATCACCACTGCTATTCAACATAGTATTAGAAGTCCTAGCCACAGCAATCAGACAACAAAAAAATAAATAAAAGGCATTCAAATCGGCAAAGAAGAAGTCAAATTCTCTTTGCAGACGGTATGATACTTTATGTGGAAAACCCAAAAGACTCCACCCCAAAACTGCTAGAACTCATACAGGAATTCAGTAAAGTGGCAGGATGTAAAATCAATGCACAGAAATCAGTGGCATTCCTATATACCAACAACAAGACAGAAGAAAGAGAAATGAAGGAGCTGATCCCATTTACAATTGCACCCAAAACCATAAGATACCTAGGAATAAATCTAACCAAAGAGGCAAAGAATCTGCATTCAGAAAATTATAAAATAGTCATGAAAGAAACTGAGGAAGACACAAAGAAATGGAAAAACGTTCCACGCTCATGGATTGGAAGAACAAATATTGTGAAGATGTCAGTGCTACCTAGAGCAATCTACACATTCAGTGCAATCCCTATCAAAATACCATCCAGTGTTTTCAAAGAAATGGAACAAATAATCCTAAAATTTGTATGGAACCAGAAAGACCCTGAATAGCCAGAGGAATGTTGAAAAAGAAAAGCAAAGCTGGCGGCATCACAATTCCGGGCTTCAAGCTCTATTACAAAGCTGTCATCATCAAGACAGTATGGTACTGGCACAAAAACAGACACATAGATCAATGGAACGGAATGGAGAGCCAGAAATGGACCCTCAACTCTATGGTCAACTCATCTTTGACAAAGCAGGAAAGAATGTCCAATGGAAAAAAGACAGTCTCTTCAACAAATGGTGTTGGGAAAATTGGACAGCCACATGCAGAAGAATGAAACTGGACCATTTCCTTACACCACACACAAAAATAGACTCCAAATGGTTGAAAGACCTCAATGTGAGACAGGAGTCCATCAGAATCCTAAAGGAGAACACAGGCAGCAACCTCTTCTACCTCAGCTGCAGCAACTTCTTCCTAGAAACATCGCCAAAGGCAAGGGAAGCAAGGGCAAAAGTGAACTATTGGGACCTCATCAAGATAAAAAGCTTTTGCACAGCAAAAGAAACAGTCAACAAAACCAAAAGACAACCGACAGAATGGGAGAAGATAATTGCAAATGACATATCAGATAAAGGGCTAGTATCCAAAATCTATAAAGAACATCCTAAAGTCAACACCCAAAGAACAAATGATCCAATCAAGAAATGGGCAGAAGACATGAACAGACATTTTTCCAAAGAAGACATCCCAACTGGCCAACAGACACATGAAAAAGTGCTCAACATCACTCGGCATCAGGGAAATCCAAATCAAAACCTCAATGAGATATCACCTCACACCAGTCAGAATGGCTAAAATTAACAAGTCAGGAAATGACAGATGTTGGCGGGGATGCGAAGAAAGGGGAACCCTCCTACACTGTTGGTGGGAATGCAAGCTCGTGCAGCCACTTTGGAAAACAGTATGGAGGTTCCTCAAATAGTTGAAAATAGAGCTACCATATGATCCAGGGTATTTACCCAAAAGATACAAATGTAGGGATCCGAAGGGGTACATGCACCCCGATGTTTATAGCAGCAATGTCCACAATAGCCAAACTGTGGAAAGAGCCAAGATGTCCATCGACAGATGATTGAATAGTGGTATATATATATACAATGGAATATTATGCAGCTATCAAAAGGAATGAGATCTTGCCTTTTGCAACGATGTGGATGGAACTGCAGGGCGTTATGCTGAGCGAAATAAGTCAATCAGAGAAAGACATGTATCGTATGACCTCACTGATATGAGGAATTCTTAATCTCAGGAAACAAACTGAGGGTTGCTGGAGTGGTGGGGGGTGGGAGGGATGGGGTGGCTGGGTGATAGACATTGGGGAGGGTATGTGCTATGGTGAGTGCTGTGAATTGTGCAAGACTGTTGAATCACAGATCTGTACCTCTGAAACAAATAATACAATATATGTTAAAAAAAATAGAAGAAGAAGAAGAAAATAGCAGGAGGGGAAGAATGAAGGGGGGGAAATCGGAGGGGGAGACAAACCATGAGAGACGATAGACTCTGAAAAACAAACTGAGGGTTCTAGAGGGGAGGGGGGTGGGAGGATGGGTTAGCCTGGTGATGGGTATTAAATAGGGCACATTCTGAATGGAGCACGGGGTGTTATGTACAAACAATGAATCATGGAACACTACATCAAAAACTAATGATGTAATGTATGGTGATAACAATAAAAATTTTTTAAAAAAGATATCTTCTATTATACCTAGAGATTTTTCTCCTGGAGCAATTTTTCTAAAAACATGTAACTTTAAACAAATTTAGGAATCTGACTTTAACTTGAAGTGTCAACTTATATTTTGGCATTTCCATTCTTCCTCTGACGTTTGCCATCACATGATGACATTGTATAAATAACCAAAAGTGGGCCTTGCATTTGTACATAATTCCTGTCCATCAAGAAGTAGATGCTATAAAACTACCAAAACTTTAACTTGTTAGGGACTTAGGAACTGTAATCTGGGTGACATAGAGTGGAGAGAAATCGGGTGTGCTCCTAATTTTGAGCAGGGAGTGCAGGTTTATGAAGGGAAAATACAGACTTGTTTGAAAGAATTATGGTGAGTGCTCAGTGTTCAGGATGACTGTCAAATACAAGATCGGCCATTTCCTTAACAGTTGTTCCATTGTCTCTATTTCAGTCCAAAGTAGAACAATGTGTTCCAGGAGGTGTCCACTTAAAATTGACCAGTTACAATTGCCAGAAGTGAAAGTTCATGGTGTTCTGGAAATTGAAACAGGAGGTGTGCATATGCCTTACTTCCTTACTGCCCTTTATACTCTAGTTTGAGTGACTCTCTTAGCAATGCTTACTTACTTCATTTCAAATCTTCTTTCACATTCCCCCCACCACCTTTTTTTCAAGATCTTTCCAACAGGAAGTAACATGAAGAAGTTTTACGATCCTACAGGCCCCTTTCATTGCTGAAGTGGTTGGCAACCTGCTCTCGGTCCATCATGTCCCCCCAAAGGGTGAGTCTCTTAATTCATTGATATTTGTTATGTTCAGCAAGAATGCTAGGTGAGTCTTAGGACCATATCTGAGTAACAAGAAGGTTTTAAGAAATAGGGTTGTGATGTCAGTTGGGGCCAGGGTCTCATTTCTAGGTAGATCTGATGAAAGGTTTCTATTCTTTGTGCAACCATCATTTTGACATTTTGAGTAGTAGCACAATGAGAAATGCAAAGACTGAGCAATTGGAAAATTGCAAATAGGGCACAAATTAAAATATTCAACAGTATAACTTATAAACCTGAACACAAGAGAGCCCCAAGTGCTGAAGGCAGCCAGCTGAAAGTATCAGAAACTTGACATTAAACCACTCTGGAATAAAGCTCAAATATCTCTTTAGGGACTTGTATAATGTGAGAAACTCGGTGGTTTTTATTTCTGCTTGTTGAAATGAGCTCATACACATACAGCAAGATGTTTCAGCTGTGGCACAAACTCCTCCTTGGCTGTGAGTAAGTAATCTAATGCAGTTTTGTTGTTGAGGACCTCAGGATCTAGGGAATCTAAAGACTTACATTGGGCTCTGCTGGCTCTGAAAGTGGAGTGAGCTATTCTGTTAAGAGTTCTGGTAAGATTTTGCATCACAACTTGTAGATGGGCTGTGCCTGCTCCAAGCCCTGAGCTAATGATTGTAAGGTGTGGGTTATACTTATCTCCAGAATATCCTACAGGAAAGTCCCAGCCTTGGCTGTGGCATAGCTATTGTCTTCCAGGCACCACATCCAGGTAATTTTTTATCATTCATAAGGGTCTTGAATTTTGTAAGTGAGGTTTAGGGGTAGCAGCCATTTTGAAAACAGTAAAAGGAGACATTGGCTGTCCTAGAAAACATGCAGCAAGCACCAGGGCCTCTCCAGCTATCAAAACATTCATAAGCCCAGGGCTGGAGATGGAAGATGCAAATGAAAATGTATCCCCTCCCTCCTCCCCCCCCCCCCCCCCCCCCCGGTGCACAGAGGATTCCAGACATGTTCTGAGGGCGTTTGGTTTCATCAGTTGGAAAGGACGTTGAGACCAGGAGTGAGTGAGGGGTGATGTCCAAGGTTGGGAAGTGAGGTTCCTTTGACAAGCCCCTAGTGGCATGGGGTGGGATGCTACAGCCATTCACAATGTCAGGTTGTGCCAGAAAGGTGGAACAAAGGGGGTCCCTCTTACTTACTCACGTGGGTCATTGCTCACATGGGGAAGGTGAGGCTGAGAGGCAGGAAGGGAGAATGATGTAAGAATGTGACAGCGTGGGAGTTTCGTGTGGTAGGGTTAGAGTATTTTTGTTAGTGTTTTTGCTAAAATTCAGTAAGAGTTCTCAATTTGTGGGGGTGTTAAGAAACAGCTGGAGACAGGATATTGAATATGTAGATTTGGACAGGATAAGTTATGGCAGATGGTGCTGTAGTATGGCTAGCTGTGTAATCAGGTGCAATTGTAAAATTGGAGATAGGAATGACTGTGGGGTCATTGTATCTTGCACGACTCCCGTGGGAGAACAATGACAGATCCAGCAATCATATGGGTTGCCAGGTGAAGCATAGGATTGTCATCGCTAAACAATAATACCATCTTTCTAGATAAGAGAGGAGATAAGGGCAAAGTGAACAACTGGGAACAACAGTAGGCATTCAGAAACCTTTGAGAGTTTGGTTACCACCATGAAGAAGCCCTGCTAAGTGTAAAAGAACAAATATCACACCAAATCCTACACAGAGAAACCAAAGGGCAAAGATTTCAGCAACTTTAGGAGTTTCCATTAGATTTTTGTGTGATGAAAGTACTATGGAATTGGTCTGGTCCTGCGTCTTGGGAAAGCAGATGTCATCTGCTTCTTTTTCTGGGCTGCAGTCAGTTTGGGGTGTCCCATTGGTTTGGTAGTCCAATTGGATGCTGCGACTTTTTCAAAAGAAATGATAGACAAGAATCTATGAGTCAATGCCTTCTATCTAGCGATTCACAATACCTGGTATGAACCCTCAAGAGGCTTGGTGTAGTCTTTGGAGGTGTGGTGGAGGCCATAATGCTGGATGACTTCGTTTCCCAGGAATATGCTGTGGACAGACTATTCCACCAATTTCTCATTTCTTTGAAGCACCTGTTTACAACTGCCCTTCCTTATGATAAGTCATCATATCACCTTTAAGTTGCTGGCTTCAGAGGCCCCTTGACTAAATCTCCTTCCAGTAATTATTTCAAATGGTGAAAGTTTATGTCTCTCATGGAGAGTGGACCTAAGATTCAATGGTATTACGGGAAAAGCTTTTGGCCATGACAAATGGAAAGACACCATGGGTTTTGCCAGTTGGGATTTTATGATACCATTGGTTAGTTCCACAAGGCAGAATGTTTGCAGATGATAGGCACATCGGAAATGTTGCGCAGTTGGATCCAACAGGCAAGATGGCGGAAGAGTAGGGGACATTGTTTCATCTGGTCCCTTGAATTTAGCTGGATATCTATCAAGCCATTCTGAACAGCCATGAATTCAGCCTGAGATGCGAGAAAATATATCTGGAACTCTACAAGTAGAAAACCGACTGCTTTTTTCAAGGTAGGAGGTGCAGAGACGTGACTCTGAGGGGAGATACCAGAAGATAAAGAGGGTAGGGAGAGTCTTCCATAAACCGGGTACCAGAAAGTGATATTGCCCTAGAGGGGCCAGAGAGCAGGCATAGCCATTTTTATTCTGATCCTCTAAAGACGCACGGAAAGCCTCCAGGGAACAAAAGCCACACGGAGGACCAGCGGTGCAACTTCCCCCAGGCAAAGACAACTGAGAAACAGCACAGCAGGACCCTCCCCCAGAAGACAAACTGGGAGAACAGGTGCACAACTAGTTTACAGATCCCACAAGACTGTAAAACTCCAGCACCAGGGGAAAATAGTATATTGAGCTAGAGGTTTTTTCTCATGATTCATTTATCTTTCATTCTAAAATTTCCCATTTCGTTTTTTTTTTCTTTTTTCCTGTTTCAACTAGTTTCTTATTCTGCCAAAGGTTTTTCTTTTTTTTTTTTTAAGATTTTATTTATTTATTTATTTGAGAGAGAGAGAGACACAGCGAGAGAGGGAACACAAGCAGAGGGAGTGGGAGAGAGAGAAGCAGCCTTCCTGCGGAGCAGAGAGCCCGATGCGGGGCTCGATCCCAGGACCCTGGGATCATGACCTGAGCCAAGGCAGACGCTTAACGACTGAGCCACCCAGGCACCCCTCTGCCAAAGGTTTTTAAGTCACTTTTTAACTTTTATTTTTTACATCTACAATTTATAGATATATGCTTCATTTTTGGTCTCTTTCGCTCTATTCAATTATATTTTTGTATATATATATATATATATATTTTGCCTTCTTTGCAACTTTGAAATTTAGGTCTTCTCACACACAGACCAAAATACTCAGGAACAAGGGCATCACCCTGCTTTATCCACCCTGTGAGATTAGTCTCTCTGACCGCCCCCCGCCCACTTTTTTCTTTTCTCTCTCTCTCTTTTTTTTTTTTTTTCTGTTTTGCTTTGGTTTTGTTTGCTTTTCTGTTTTGGTTTCTGATCGCTTCGGATTTGTCTAGGGTGAATTTTGCTTGGGTCGAGGTAGATATTTTGGACTCTACTCACCCACTCACCCATTCTTCCCTGGGCAAAATGATTAGAAGGAGGAATTCACAAAAAAAGAACCTTTGGTCCTTTGCCAGAGATCTAATCTATATGGATATAAATAAGATTTCAGAG